GACAAATTCCTATAGCAGGAATGAATATTAGAACAACTTCAGGAAAACAGGAGCAGGCTATGCCTTAGAAGGGAAGAGAGCGATTCAACAACTTTCAGGGGTTGACAAGCCAAGAATAATTAAGACTGAAAATGCCCCCATTAGCATTTGGAAAAATAAAGATAGCCAGGGAAATTATCAAAAGCTGTTATAATGGAATGATGGTGACAGATGCCAACGAGAGAGGACCATAGAATAAGGCAAGCCTTCCAAGATGAAGAGAGTGTTCTAACTGCAAAGGGGATTAGGGAATTGAGAATTTTTGTGGGATTATTTTTTGGTTGTTGTCTGTCTGTTTTAATGAAAGAAATAGAAGTGTGTTACAAACTTGGTAATCATCAAGAAGCTAAAGCCAAAGCAGACAACCAGGATTTCCAATGTTTTCAGCCTGCAGACGCAGAGCTATGTGTCCTCTATGGCAGAAACAAAAATCGTATTTTCCACTTGATGCGTTCATGTTGAAACACACATTGTTTCAGGTGGGTGTCTAGAAGTTAAACTGATTTTCCAACTTAGTTATAACCACTTTTGAGTTTTTTCAGCCGATGTAGTTATAGATGTGTATTAAATTCCAGAATATAAAAAAATTATCTTTGCTGAGAAAAAGGATTCATTTATTATTCATTCATAAAATATCATGACCATTTACACTCAATAAGATATGTTTTATGGGGCGCCTGGGTGGCTCAGATGGTTAAGCGTCTGCCTTCGGCCCAGGTCATGATCCCAGCGTCCTGGGATCGAGCCCCACCTCGGGCTCCTGGCTCAGCAAGGAGCCTGCTTCTCCCTCTCCCTCTGCCTCTCTCCCTGCTCATGCTCTCTCTCTCTCTGTATCTCTTTGTCTCAAATGAATAAATAAAATCTTTAAAAAAAAAAAGATGTTTTATGAACTCTAGGTGACGGGCACATAATGAACTAGTACTTCAGAACATCAATTTTTATTAAATCAAAATTCATCATTATGTAAAAATATCATCACACGCACCAATTCACTATCTACCTTACAGCTTTGAAATGCTGTAATTCATTAAAAATGAAAATAAAACTTTGAACATACTGAGCTGTATATGATTTTATTTCTCTTTAGAAAAGTTAATCCTATGAGAAGTTCATGAAGGATCTGTTATCTATTCACTATAAAAAGAATGTATTTTTAATTTTTTAATGCGAGATTTCAGCTTCCTAAATAAAAAAAAAACAATAATCAGACTAAAATAAAATATTATTAATTTGGTAATACACCTAAAATTGGGGGACAAATGGGATGATCATTTTGCAGAGGTTCATAAATATTTTTTTCACTTGCTGGCCTGGTGACAAGTCAGAACTCATTTTCAGTTTATTTTAATTTTGTTTTAATTAAGCAAGCAAGTTTTTTCCCTATATTTTGCACGCTCAAGTTGTCAATTAATCCCCTGAGCAATGGTTCATTTACACAACAAATTTTACCTACCACCTGGAAGGCACTGTGCCAGGCCCGGGGCGAGGGGGGGCGGTGGGCACAGAAATGACAAACATCCCCATCAGAGTTTCCAGTATCATAGCACTGAATCTACAAGATCAGAGGAATCTAGATGGTATAACGGAAGCACAGAGAACACCTCAATCAGCCTGAGGAAAGCAAAGGAAATACCAGAGAGATGATATTTAACTTGCTCCCTTAAGGAAAAGCATCAGTCTTCAACATGATCAGGACAAAAGTGGAATTTTACTATCAGGAACAACGCAATCGCTTCCAGTTCTGCTCATGTAAGTGCCCATATTACAGGATTTTTAAGTGGAAAGTTGAGTCAGAGGCCAGGAACCAGAGATAAGACTTTAAATATAGGCAAAGGGCAGATGACTATCAATCACATGTATTAGGCAAATGGGTTTAAAATATGTTTTTTAAGAGACAAGAGTTCTTTGAAGGCTTTCTGTTTTTTTTTTAATTTTTGAATTAAACTTTTTATCCAGATTCTTCATTTGGCCTCCACTGATACCCAACTGGGAGAATGCTTCTCATTGCGACTGGTTGGGTTCCACTTTCAACAGCGGGTTTCCACTGATAACTCCCTGGCTGGGGGGGTAAGAGTGTCCTGTTACTGCTCCCTGCATGGCCTTCTCTGACACCACCCCAATAGGGAGTGAGAGGGGTACCTCATTACTGATGGGAGGAGGTTTAAGTCCAGACCCCTATGGGCTTCACTGTCACTGCAAGTTTGAGGGGTCCTCATTACTACTAGGCAGGGATGAAAGTCTTGGCTCCCTAGTTGAACTTCTCTGACACCCCTATGGGAAGATGGAGGGTTACCTCCCCTCTTACAACCAGACAAATGTGGAAGTCTAAACTCAGCTTTTGCTGTTGGGGGGGGCGGCAGGGAGAGACAGCATGGATTTTTCTGTGGTGTTTGCCTAGAGTAGAGCCATCTAAAGTTTTATGTTTTACTTAGGCTGTCCCTTTCCTACTTCTTTGGCTTAAGAGATCATGCTTCTTTTTTTTTCTTTTTTAGTTTTTTGTTTGTTTAGTTTTTGGTTTAGTTTCTTCGTTGTTATCATTGGCATTTCTGGGTTGCCAGCTTTTTCAGCAGCAAATCTAGGACATATGCAGGAAAAATAAAACCCAGGGTCTTATCACCATGTTGATCCTTGGGTCCCAAGGTCCCTAACGCCAGTTTCCCTTCTTCTGTCCACTTTCAGCCTTTTCATGTTTGTTCTAGACAGGCTTGTGACTTTTAGTTCTAAGTAGAGGGAGGAATAGAGAAAAGTATGTCATCTTCATCTTTGCAAAAGCAGAACTCAACCCTTTGAAGGATTTTAAGCAGCAAAGTTCTATGTTGGCTTTTGCATTTTAGACATGTAATTATACATGGGGAAAGCTCAGAGTTTGGAGGGAGGGTAGAGGTAGCCTGGAAGGACACTTAAAGGCAGAAGCACCTGTTAGAACGTGCTCTAGACTGATTATCAGATGATAACCTGAAATACACAACCAGAGAGCACAGGCACAAGTCAGATCAGAAGCCAAACGCAGAATATACACCAATTAACAACGTACTTAGGCATGCCAGCTGAATATCAGCTCTGAATATATGGCAGGAAGCATGGAAGAGAGAGGACACTTTTGATAGGTACTAAAATATAAATTCAACAAAATGTAATGAGTGATAGGGTGTGACATGTAAAGATCATGAAATTAGAATCACTCCTCAATTCTTAGTTTGGATGACTGGGTAGATGCACAAAAAATTAAAAAACTACAGAGTACATGGAAAGTTTGTGGAAAAAAAATGAATTTTGCAGGGAAGAATGGAGATGGTGAGTTCAATTCGTGTCATCTTGAGCATAAGATGTGTATGGGCCATCCAAAGATGGGCTAACAATAAGCTGGTGCTCATCAGGAAAATCTGATACAGAAATAGGAGTACTTGGAAGCCCTGGTTTAACTAGTACTACTAAATCCAACTACATGGAGATTACCCCAAAAATATAAGCAGAATGAGAAAAGAAGGCTAAGAATTAATACCCTTATAAGCCCCAATGTTTAGGACCAAAGTAAGAGAAACCAAGAGAGGAAAGGAAGTCAAGCTGTCGGAGAGACAGGAGAACAGAGGAGTAGAGCTCAATTTAGTTTCATGAGCATTCACTGAGTGTTTAGTGTGTGCTATGCACTGTGCTGGAAGACTGGTTCTTGAGGGTCTCATGGCCTACTAGATAGGAACAGATAATATCAAAACAGTATGCTCAGCTCAGTGATCAGTGATAGACATATGCTCAGGGGGCAGTGGAACCATGGAAAGGGCACTAAACAAAACCAAAGACTGTTAAGAGGAAACTTTGAAAAGATGATAACATCTAAGCAGAGTCTTCAAGCACAGTAGGAGTTAACCTGGTAAGGAAAGACACAGGAAAAGTCATGCCAGGAAGAAGAAACAGACAGAAAAAGAGCAAAAGGACATGGAGCTCAAGAGGAGAGAGAATTACTTGCAGGAAACAGCATGGTTGATGTGCCAAGAGAGTGAAAAGAAAATCAGACTGAAAACCTTTTGACTTGGCCACTTATGAAGTCACTGTTGACCTCTGTTGCGGTAGATTCTAGGAAGTGATGCGGACAGAAATTGCACCACAGTGGGATACAGAGTGACTAGAAGAATATTAAATTCAAAAAGTGTGGATTTGGTACTTTTTTCAAGTAGTTTAGTGGAGAAGAAAATAAAGATGGGATAGCTAGAAGTGGGCAAAGGTCTAAAAAGCTTTGTTTTGTTATCAGAAAGAATAGAGGATGTTTACACAGTGTATGAAAGAAACCAGAGTAGAGATAAAAGGTTTTAGAATGTAGTTATTATATTTAATCTTTTACATAAAAATACTTATAAAACATCTACACTCTTCTTGAGCACATCATTCCAGGATAAAGATAAACAACTGAGCCCCTTTCATGGTGTTAAAATCATATTTCAAATAAACTCAAAAAATAAAAAAAGGCTGATGGTAAATGCACAAGAATGGTATATTCTTCAGCTCTAAATGCAGCTTAATACTTCTAAATATAAATACTTATAGTGGCACCTTCAGCTCTGTTACATTTGTGTTATCTATACCACAATTCATCATAGGTATTCAGGGTGGAGGTTTATTTTGTTTACTTCAAAGGGAATGATTATTTAAAAAAAAAAACTATTTTATTGCAATAACTTTGGTATAATCCTTTCTAGAAATCCTTTAGGGATAGACATCAAGCTGATTAGTATATGTTTTTCGTAATATAATTTTTACTGGCTTTGTTCAGCACAATTTAAAAAGCTGGCTATTATTTTTCTTCATTCCTTTCTCTTTTGAAATCATATTTTTAACTGGAAGAATATATAAAAATGTCTCCTGCCCCCAATCCAAATTTTTCTGTTCCCACTTAGAAACTACTTCTTTAAAAGTTTCAGTGAAAAAAACAAAATTATCTTTAGGTGGTATTAATCTCATTTTATTACCTCATATAGGACTGTCGTGTTCCCATGCAGAAGAGGTCCATAACAGATATAGGAATGGCCAACAACCCAGCCTAAGTCAGAGGCTGCCCACCACACCTAAAAAATAAGAAGATAATAAAATACGTAAGTGTTCACCAGGGAAATGTCATATATCATGAATTTAAAGCCATGATTACCTCTCCAGGTTTAAGTCCATAGATAGAAGACATTGTCCAGTTTAGCATCACAGCATATCCCCCAGTGGGTCTAACAACACCCTAAAGGAGAGAAAACGTGAAGTCAACATCAGCAACCAGTGGGTTAAAAGATTCTCTGCCTTCACACTATCCATCTTAATAAGTCCCTGTTCAAATTACTATTTATTCTACAAACTACATACTACTTTGGCTTTCATATAATTGTATTTACATCAATATTTATTTGGTTCCCTCAATCATAAACACAGAAACATTTGTCTACATCAGTTCACTTCTAGAATCCATTTTCACAGACCATTCTTGACCTTCTAAAGAAAACTTAAGGCCTCACAGAACCACAAGTAATAAAAAATTTTTTTCCAGGGGTGACATAAATTAACGACATTACATTTACAGACATTTTTCCAGACCAAAAAAGGAAACTCTCAAAATTAAGTGCACAGAAAATTCAAAGGTAATTGTGTTCTTCAAACACAGGCTAACGTAAGGATGGCTATCCCTTAATATTATTAAATAATAATAGGATGCTTAGAGGAAATAAAGTCATATTCTAACTGGAGCCTCATTACAATGGTATACTGGGGATTGTGCTAGTATAGTATTAAAGCTAAACAATCCTTTAATGATGAATTCTGGAATTCTGACAAAGCAATCCTCCTGGGCCGGAGCTAAGGCTGACAGATTTGCCTTCTATTACATTTGGGGCAAAAGTAGGGATTGCTACATCACAGTGTTAAGGCGTTCATGAACTAGTTTCTAGCAGCTATCCACGATATTGAACATACTCAACTGTAATACAAGATTAATATTTGAAAACTGGCACAAGAGTCACCATAAATAAAAGCTGATGATAAATTTAATAATTGCATTTATTGCTTCACTATAAACATTAATCATCATTGGCTTAAAAAGGCTTAACCATGTGAATATTCAGAATGGTCAAGTGAATGCTTGCTAAAAAAACAAGCTATATTTCACTCACATGAATTTTGAAACTTCCTTTAGTAGAGCAATTAATATTACTCTATGCAGAAAATAATTCTTTAACCTAAAGGCAAACACGACCCTAATACACGTACTACTAGCTGAAACTTTCTAGCATAACTCAGAAGCTGCATACGTGAATCAGAGAAATGAAAAACAAACTGACTTTCCACTAGTTACTAAAGTTGCTGCTCTCCTCAGGTACCAGTAATAAAACACAGGTATCAAGCTGTGGAACACATTTTATCTACCAGCAGAAACACCTGGCCTCTTGGCAAATGTCTCATGCAGCTTCCTTGGCATTTGACAGCTATTTTCTACATTGTATGACATGGTTAGCATGCAGCTGGCTCTCCTGATCACCATCGGAGCATTAGAAATCCTTAGCCCCCGCCAGTAGGTTTCACACGTGCATTTTCCCAGTATATTCTGTACTATCTTCCATGAACTTCACTCATTACTTTGTTTTATTGGGATCTTTTTTTATGATTCAGTACCTTGAGGAATTTGATAGTCATCAACTTGCAAATTTTTTATTCATTTTGTAGAGAAGAAAAAGTGAAGCCTTTTTTCATAGATAATATGCTCTCCATATACTATGGTGGACAGTGATAAGTAATGTCAGTAATGATTTCATTTAAGATGTTTTAGAATTTTCTGTCCATCTACCAGTCCCTGCATTTAGAGCTCATTGTTATCAATAATTCTAAATATTATTATAACTAGGTACATTTTTAGATTATACAGCACAAAGGGTAAGACAAATCAACTGAGAATGATAAAAAGGAAGAAAAGGCTAGAAAAAAACACGAGTAGTAATTCATTTGTAAAACTAAAAAGATAATTTAAAGGAATAAACTATCAAATTTCTATTTACCTCTCAAGGGGACTTTATCCTTTACCCTTCCTTAAAGGATTATTAACCAATGCCGCTTTCCCCAGAAAATGGTGAGTGCTTAAATCCATTTGATGCCAAAAAAGTGGGACTTAAAAAATGAGACCGTGCATGAAAACACATTTAAAATTATAAAGTATCGGGATGCCTGGGTGGCTCAGTCATTAAGCGTCTGTCTTCGGCTCAGGTCACGGTCCCAGAGTCCTGGGATCGAGCCCCGCGTCGGGCTCCCTGCTTCACGGGGAGCCTGCTTCTCCCTCTCCCACTCCCTCTGCTTGTGTTCCCTCTCTCGCTATATCTCTCTCTGTCAAATAAATAAACAAAATCTTTAAAAAATAATAAGCAAAATGAAATTATAAAGTATCTATAATTTAGTATCTTATTAACAAAAATATTTCCTTAGTTCTAGCAATTATTGCTTTTTATTTTTCCCTGTGCTGATACCACTCAAAAGCCAGAAATGTCCAAACAACTAAAGGTTGCCATCAAAGATTCTCATTAAAAACAACTGAAATGGAGCAAATAGAGAGAGAAAAGCCGTGATGTCTGTTTTTCATTGGTCTTTGATATCCACTTATTTTTATCTTTTTAAGGATGAGTATAAATATTTCTGTCAAGTATCATTTTACCATTCATTAATCTAGATAATAGATCTGAAATTTGGTCTTTGCCTCCAAAATATTTGGGTAATAATTACCAATTTTCTGAGGATTTGATATGGTGTAGGAAAAAAACCTGCATAATTCCATGTTCTTTCATGTAGATCTTTCATAGAAAGTTTGAAAGTAAAATAAAAATGGAAAGATTAGGTTGAAAAACAGAATTTCCTTATTATAATATTAATATGTGACTACAAAATAAGATGATAAAGCTTTTTTTGTTTGTTGCTTGTTTGTAATCACATTTTCCAGGTAATGATAATTAAAATGCAAAAGAGAAACTTTGTTCAGTCTCTGAAAACACATAAATCATGCTCAAAAATGAAATCATTATATTCTAATAGTCAAAATAAATCAGAAACTAAAAACTCTTTTAAACATATTTGAGGGACACCTGGGTGGCTCAGTCAGTTAAGCATCTGCCTTTGGCTCAGATCGTGATTCCTCATCAGGCTCCTTGCTCAGCGGGGACCCTGCTTCTCCTTCTGCCTGCCACTCCCCCTGATTGTGCTCTCTCCCTCTCTCCCTCAGTCTCTCTCTCTGACAAATAAATAAATAAAATCTTTTAAAAAATAAATTAATAAATGAATGAATGAATGAATAAATAAATAAAACATATTTGAAATCTTAAGTATGAAGTAAAAACACTTAATCAATATCAGTGCTTACCCCTAAAATCCAAGCATGCTGCATTTTGCTCTCTTGAATGTCTGTTATTACTTTCCTTATGTACTTGTATTCTATCTACCTTAAAAATTAAAACATTGGATGAACTAATGTATTGTCAGAAAAGCCCTGTAACCTGCCAGTATACTGTTCTGGTATTTGTAGTATTAGTCATAACACTTAAAGTCTACTGGAGAACTTGAAAGACTTCTGAGTGGGAATAACACTCTATACCCCAAATAAAGACATGAAAGTGAATTCTACCTCAAAAATGCAAAAGGAGACAACATAAGGGTGCTTTTTAAAACAAACAAAATAACAACAATAACAATACATTTTTAATGTATATGGGCATTTTAAAAAACTTCAATCCAGGGCGCCTGGGTGGCTCAGTTGGTTAAGCGACTGCCTTCGGCTCAGGTCATGATCCTGGAGTCCTGGGATCGAGTCCTGCATCAGGTTCCCTGCTCAGCAGGGAGTCTGCTTCTCCCTCTGACCCTCTTCCCTCTAGTGCTCTCTATCTCTCATTCTCTCTCTCTCAAATAAATAAATAAAATCTTTGGAAAAAAAAAAAACTTCAATCCACACAGGTAAAATTAAAGGCTGGTTATTAGTCACCCATAAATAGGACCCCAGAATCATCCCAGATGGTTCTTTATGATTTCCAGTTTAATGAGCTGCCTTTGAAAACAAGGAAAACCACAAAATATCATAAATGGGGCCATTAAAGTAAAACATAAAATATAAAAGAGAACATGGTATGCAGTTTTGGTTGCCACAACTTAGGAAAAATACAGAACAACATGGGTTTTAGCAGCAGAAGAAGAAAAGACTGAGTGTGGTAAGATTAAGAGCTTAGGATTCTTCATCCTAAGTGTTTTTTTTTCTTAGTTGATTTATAAAAATCTGAGAAGCAAATCTTAAAATACTCAGGTAAGAGAAGTTTTGAGTACTCAACAAAACTTCATACTTTCTAAGTTGAGCCCCTTTGTCATCCTACTCTGTAACAAGCTTATATAAAACAAATATGCATATTTTCATCCATGATATATGTATTTATTCACACATCTATGTGTAAATATATATGCTTATGCGTATGTGCATGCGTGTTTCAATTCAGCCTGACGAGTTGTGGAAAAAAAACAAAAAGAAAGGTTAAATATTTTACCTAAATACAAGAAATCGATCAGGAGATGATGATTGGGGTCAAGTGAATTGAGAAATAAAAGATAGAGTTCTGATTACTTAAAAAATCCAACAGATCAACAATAATCTTGTTCTTATAATGGCTTTACTGATGATATCCCCTTTTTCTAGAATGTAACACCACCCCCACCTCTTCCCTGAACGTGGTTAGCTCCTACTTCATCAGAGAACTACTTAAATACATCATGAAAGTGCCACCTCGTCTGGAAGTTGTCCCCAACCCCATAGTTTGTGTTATGTGTCTCTCCTGATTCTTCCTTGGCTCCCGGGCTGGCTCACGTCCTCGGAGTGACCAGCTGGACTGAGGGCTGCATCTTCCCCCCTATTCTGAGAATGCTTCTTCATCTTCAACACAGTAACTGCCATGCAGTAGGCCTGTAATCCATTTGTTGACTGATTCAATACGTGAACAGTTGAGTGAATAAGCACATCTAAGAAAAATACAATTCTTGTTTTAAATAGTCTTCTTTGTTCAGAAGAAAGCTTTGAAACTTGTTGAACTTAGTGAATCGTATGGTTCCATTTGGGGTAGTGCATCAAACATAAAATCTCTTGCTGCAGGCTTTCGGAGGACTCTGAAGCTGCCTCTATGGAAGATACTTTAGCAGCAATATAATTTTTTATTGATCTGAACAACTGTGAGATAAGAG